TATTTTTTATTTTTTCGTATTAAGTTGCTTACTTAGTTAAAAGTTTAGGAGTGAGAGGTCGTTACGTCAGAACGTGCTACTAAATGTGACACGCTGTGACGTTACACGATATTTCAAATTAATATAACGTCGAAAGTATTTAATTTTGTGGGAAAAGAAAATATACGTGTCTAAAGTTTTAAATTAATGTACCAGACGGACAGTAAAATAAAATTAAGGAAACTACCCTATTAACTGCCTGCACTAAGACAAGCCTGTATCGCAGGTGAGAGAAGTTCAACTACATCGTTCCTTTTACAAAAAAGTAATACAATCTCCTTTGACTAAAAATGACTACTTTCCATTTCCATCTTTGTTATACACTCTCAAGTCTCAACTGAGTTTATCACAAGACTGATGACATCAAAGTACTCTTTGCACTCCATCTTTCAATGAAATACGAACATAATAACTCAAGCCAAAGGAAAACTTTGCCAACAAAAGTCAGCTGTCTCAGTAACTTCGTTACAAGTTTCAAATATTTTTTTCTCAACGTCACTCCATACACGACAGTAGATCAACTGATACATTTCCAATATAAGCTGACCTCGTTTGATATTCCGTTTTTGTATCTCCAGAGATCAATTTGTACTGGATAGTATAGTTTAATATGCCGTCTGAACGGAGATGGAATATGAACGACGGGACACGTTTTTATTTTTTGAACTTTATTAATTTGTCTAACTTGATCTCGGTAGCAAATTATTTTGCAAGATGAAATTGATTTGTTCGTTAATTGTTTGCAAAAGTTTTTGCGATTCTTGTGATTTGAGGGTAACAAATGGAGATTGTGTTTTATAATGTCATATTCTTTTATATTGCAATTGGTTTTCAAGACTGCAGGAGAGAATGAAGAAGTGGTGGTTGGAAGATTATTGTATTACTCCAATCAATCAATGAATAGTTAATAACAATCAACAATTAGTAGAATAAATATCGTAGAAAAATACATACTGAATTGTTTAGAGACAATTTCAGATATATAAATATATATAAAGATAAAGTTCAGGCTTATTCTACTTTACATTACGTCTGTGATGTACTACTTAACTTACTATATTAACTTATTTATTATACTTATAATAACAATTTCAGAAACAATCTGTAGGAAGATTTCGTTGTTGTACTTAACTGGGCTAGGCTATGACTTAAAGGGTTTCCAGAGTTGCTGCTTGAAGAGCAGAAGTAGGAACAGCGTGGTTTTTAGTCAGTAAACTGACAAAAGTCTGACACTTCCTCTCGCCTCACCCAAGGTGGAAGAAACCATTGAATAATTTTCCCACCTCGTAAAAAAATGCATAAAACTTGGTAATCGTGTGTAGTAGGTGTTCGTATTTATAATGCAAAAATATTAGTCTACGCGTATTCCAAAGTGATTAATACCCTGTCTAGAAAATGACCCCAAAAATATGAAATACAAACGTTAAACAAGGAATTCGTAAATTTAATAAACCTCATCAATATCCGAACGAGACCCTGCGTTCGTATTAATTAGTG